TTTAAAAACTGTAGGTTCTGGAGCTGGAAAGAGATGGCCTAGCCATTAGGAGCTCAGGTTCTTGCTCGGCAGCTCACAATCATCTGTAACTCCAGTTCCAGGGATCCAACACCCGCTTCTGACCTCCACAGGCTCCAGACATGAAAGTGGTGCACATACATACATGAAGGTGAAATACCCATATACATAAAAACAAATAAATCCTTTTAAAATTGAAGAACTTATTTTCTGCCCGTCTCTTTATTCCAAAGCTGAAGTAAATAATTACCTTTTTATTTTTTTAAGTGACTAAGGCAAGGCAAGACCCCTTCCATCAAAAAGCTTACAAGCCATCAGCAGGGCAACCAGGTGAACAACTTAATTATAAAAAGCAAAAAGAGAAAAACATTTTAATAAATGCACAGGCAAAGTGTCAGGATGATTAAGGGGAGAGTCACTGTAATGTGGAGAGAGAGGCAAACTTCATGAGAAATCCTGTTTCTTTGACCTGTGTGGTAAGGATGGATGAAATTTCAGTTTGGGGGAAAGAAGAGAAGAAGAACCTTGTTAAAGGCAAAATTAAACATAAGGGACTAGACTGTAAAGAGTCTTTGTCAGCTTCAAGTAAAATGAGGAAGGCCACCACCCTCAACTGTCCTCAGACCAAGCAGTGCTTCCAGCTGCAAGTAATGACGGGGAGAAGGGTAAGCAGAGGGACCAGAGGGAGGCTCAGTGGCTAAGAATACACACTGCTCTTCCAGAGGACCAGGGCATGCTTCCCAGCACCCACATGGCCACTCACGGCCACCTGTAACTCCAGTTCCAAAGGATCTAACATCCTCTTCTGGCCTCTGTGGGCTCCTGCACACACATGGTGCATATATATGCCCAAAGGCTCACACATATACATTAATAAATAAATAAATAAATAAATAAATAAATAAATCTTTAAAAAAAAGCTTCATTGAAATGACTTGAAGGGTATTCTCAAATCTTCTGTGATGACACAGAAAAAAAAGATTAAACATATAACCCAAGCATTGTATAAACTGTATATAATATATGTAGAATGAAAAGACTAGTGTGCTGGGTGTGGTGTGCATACCTTTAATCCCAGCACCCAGGACATAGAGGAAGATATATCTCTAAGACCAAAAGCATTCTGTTCTATAGATGAGAGTTCCAGGACAGCCAGGGCCACACAGAAAAACCCTGTGTAGTGGTGGTAGTGGTGCAAATAAAAGAAAAACTTCATCACACACCAGAGTTAACCAATCAGACTCAAAGTACATTTCAATGAACTTTTTTAGAGATCGGGTCACTCTACACAGCCCTGGCTGTCCTGGAATTCACTATGTACACCAGGTTGGCCTCTCATTGATATGCCTGTCTCTGCTTCGCAAACGCTAGGGTTAAAAGTATGCCCCAACACACACACACACACACGGCTTAGAGTGGCCATCTGGAATGGAAGCGTTGGAGCACACACTGGATTTTATATTTCACTTATTGAATATATTTTTATGCACTTATACTGTGAAAAACAATCTACAACAGAGTTAAAACTAGGAAAACAATTTTCCTTTCCTAATTCATGCCATGATCTGCATTCAGTGGGTCCTCATTTCCTAACATTTAGCCTGTCTTGTTCTTCTCTACATGTTACACTGTATCCATGTGGGCATTTGTCTACATACATGCACATAATATTTACCAGATTCCACAAACATATGGCTTTTCCTAAGACTCTAATGAGACTTAGATTCAATCAGTATTTTAGTTCCTTTTTATTAATAACATAGATTGATATGCAAATCTTGTGCCAACCAATCAAAGCCAGTGTCCTAACCACTTCATAATACACTCTTCTCCTTCCTACCGTCTCATTAACTCTACTCTGAATGCATGCCATTAGCGTCTTTCCACATTTCCTTTCCAAGAGCCTTTAAAGTAGCTTCCATTCTGAAGAAGCCAGTTTAATTAAAAATCGATGATATAAGCCATAAGTCCATGTAAATGGACAGAGTTCATCTAAGGCAGTGGTTCTCAATCTGTGGGTCCTGACCCCTACGGTGTCAAACAACCCTTACACAGGGGTTGCCTATCAGATATCCTGCATATTAGTATTTGCATACAATTTATAACAGTAGCAAAATCACAGTTAGGAAGTAGCAATGAAATAAGGTTATGGCTGGGACCACCACAGCATGAGGAACCGCACTGAAGGGTCGCAGCATTTAGGAAGGTTGAGACCCACTGGTCTAAAGCAAGAAGTGTAATTAGAGTAACCAGAGTCAACGCCACTGTATCATAAAATGTTTCTTACACAACCTGAGTAACGGGTGCTAAGCCGACATACACCCTGTATCTACCCATATGCAAATGTTAATAAAACAGTTTTGTTCCTCCCTTGAGAAAGCTCTGATTTTCCTTCTCTCCCATCCTGAATAATCTGGCACATTCTGCTTTGGTGATCACTGCCTTACGCATTCATAAATATTATTTTCCTCAGAGACATTACAAGTCATGGTAGCTCTAGGGCTGGCTAATTCAGCAGCTGAGAAGAAGTCACTGTGCTTTGGGGTACCTTTAACCTCTGTAGTGTGTTAGAGCCCTCCAAACCTCATGGAATGCTACAGACATGCAAGCCATAATCACTGAAGTCACAAACCTGCGCATTAATCAGTCACTGACAGTAGGTGCGGTTATACTGAAATTATCTTGACTCAAGATTCTCTCCCTGGGGCAGGAGACACCCAGCTAACCCATGAATATGTGGTCAACTGAAAAATTATCAAGAGCAGATTTGTGGCTACGTGGTGATGGCACAGGCCTTAATCCCAGTACTTGGGAGACAGATGCAGGCAGATCTCTGTAAGTTCCAGGCCAGCCTGGTCTACAAAGAGAGTTCCAGGACAGCCAGGACTACAGAAAGAAAATCTCCCCTTTCCTATGTCCTCTACCCCGCCACCCTACTCAATGAATAAATAAATAAATAAATAAATAAATAAATAAATAAATAAATACCAGCATCATGGTAGGAAGTAATATTGTAAGCTTTTTACAATCTTTACAGTGGATCACGGATGAACCTAAGCCTGGGCAGAACCACCATCCAACTGAGGCCAGTTCTCATTCCAAAGAAATAAACCGTGGTTGGTCTATGTCACAAAAAGCAAGGGAGGCCAAGACACAGGAGGTGGCTCTGTGCATAAAACTGTCCCTGTGTTTAGGACAATGAGAGAGGAGCTACCCTTCTTTTATTTCCATGGATTTTTTAAAATTCACACATTTAGTTCCACATCAGCAAGTACTCAATAAACATTAATAATTGATGTTATGAATCTCAAGTAATTTAGAGCAAAGCCTGGCAGCAAGAGAGGATCATAACAGACTATGCGGGAATCATGACCAGCTCCAAATTCTTAGAAGTAATTCAATACCCTCCTTAAATGAATGGCTATACACACAGTGACGAAATTCCCCTAGAATGTGGCCAGTCTATGCTTTCCAGACTACAGGAGCGAATGTCATGACAACATTAGGAATGTTCACACCCTATGCCATTGGGTATGCTTTTAAGGCCAGCCAATACCACTTCTAGAGATCTATGCTATGCTGGCCAGCTCTTTTTATTTTCTTACTCCCTGTGTCTTCCAGCCACAATAACCTCCTCTGTGGGACACTGTGGCCCACAGACCCATCTTGTGGGTTTAATGGGGTCTGCCACCTGGAACTCTTCTTTGGCCAACCTGGGTTCTTTCCACATTTCTCTCAGGTTGGTGCCAACAGCAAAGACTCAGCTTCTTGATGACAGAGGTTTTGGAGCTACAAGGAGCCACCAGAGTCTGTGCAAGGCCACACCTGAGTCAGAGGACTCTGATCGTCTAAGGGAGATTTCTGTCCAAAGATATCAAAGGTCAAAAATCAAGCCTTTGATAACCGCAACATATGCAATGGATTTGGTGACCAGCCATTAAAACAGAGCCAGAGAATGAACACAGAGAATGTATGTCTGACATGGAACACAAGAAAAAGTGTGTCCCATGAGCATATACTGACTCTAAACCACACAAATGCAACATACTTATCTTGATTTGTATGATGTCTTTCATGTGTCAAAACTGTATGTCACATAATGTACCACTTTGCTTCAGTACATTCTTTGTGAAAGAAGGTCACCCACGGTTGACAGTTTCTTCCACTCTTCTCTACCCCTCGGGGGCAATAAGCCAATCCACCACAGGTGTGTGACCCTAGGTATGCTGGGTAAAGCAAGAAAGTGCTGAGTCACCATGGTTCTATGTTAAATGGCTGAACATTTTGGGTTCACATCTGTCTACAATGAATATTAGCCAGGAGGCTTTGGAACTAATAAATTTTCTCATGCTAATGGCAAAATCCATGCTGAAATCCATGGTCTGTGTCCTGTCTCTGCAACATTTGTCTTGCCCTTGACATTTCTGTCTATGGGATGCTTCTCTCTAGAACATTCTCCTTGATCACCCACACTCACAGAAACTCTTAAAGACAGCACTCACTCTACAAAGACAGCTGACCAGCAACAGAGGCAAACAAAACCAGAACCCCTCTCACTAACAGCAGGATAAGGCTTCTAAGAGCCTTCTTCATGGAAATCTCCCCACCCCGCTTTCTGTTTCTGTCCCCTTTTGGAACAGTGACAGCCTTCCAACTCTACTAGGAAATGATGTTTCACAGTGTCCTCTTCTGCTTTCACTTCTCAAGGAAAGGGCAACAATTTCAGACTGGCCAGTCAGTGAACAGACACTAATATATCTTCTTCTGAGTTTAAACACCATTTCAATTAATACTTTGCAAAGCTATCCATCCCTCTCCCAGAGAAAGTTTTAAGAGCTGCATCTGCAGCCTTGAATTGTGCCACATACTTGTAATCTCAGCACACAGCTGGGGCAGGGAGACCCCAAGCTTGAAGTCAGACGAGGCTACACAGTAAGACCTTATGGCAAAACCAAAACCAAAGAGGATGGCAAAAACCATACCTTTTATGTACATGGACAAGTTCCTCGTCGTAAAAGAGCTGTCTCAGTGGATCAAAAAGGGCTTCCTGTGCAAGACTGACAACCTGAGTTCGATTCCCAGATGCCACAGTAGAAGAAGAGAACTCCAGAAGTTGTCCTCTGACCTCTACACACAATGGCATGTGCGCCCATGTTCGCAAATGCAAGCAGACCAAAGGATAAGTGAAATGAAAGCTGTAAAGAAAAAAACTGGTATCCTAGAATACGATTTTATTTTTGAACCTGTTAAAAGTTCATAGACAAGGGGCGTAGCTCAGTGGTACAACATGAGTTTAGCATGTCGGAAAACTTGGATTTGATCATCAGCACAGCCAAAAACACAAAGAAAATCCTGCCCAGCTTCCAGACTGAGGGCACAGCTACACTCAGCATTACTAAACCGGCAGGCAGGAACACAGCAAACAGTGAAAATGGATCACTGCAACCTACTACCCCTTCACCATTTAACCAGAAGCACAAGAGGAGACCTATGCAGCATGGGAAGTGGCTCACAATCGATCTACACACTCATCAGTAGAAAGAGCTCAGGACTCCATGAAAGGGACATTCAGACAGGCTTCGTGCTTAGCCTGACAGAAGCCAAGATGAGAGGTAAATGGTGTTTTCATGCTTATGTTTAAGTTGATTTGAGGCAGACCTCCTCAAGAATGTCATCACTGATACACATCTGAACTATAAATCATGTTAGACTCTGAAGCCTACTTGATTAAAAAAAGAAAGAAAAGAAAAAAATTGAAAATAAACAAATGATTAGTTGGAGGTATATGACTTTCTGAAACTCTCCTTCGGAGAATGTTTAGTTATCATTATTAGAGAACTGTCTTTAATCTTTCCTATCAAAGCAGAGATATAAGTCCCAAGGTTCTGGAACCAAAATAACTATGAATGAAACACTGTGGGAAACGGCCACACGTTCTGTTTGTCAGGCTTTAGCAAGTTCACAGGTGACTTACATGAATCAAAAGAGACAGAGGGCAAGGAATAGGCTCAAGTTCAACTCTGTCACAGGTGACATCAGGCAAACTGATCTAACTTCCTGGGCCCTGGTTTACTCAAATGAGAGGTTGAGGGATAAAATATGCAGTGAAGCCCTTTATAACTGCTGCTACACTGTTCTAATATTACAGCACGGGCTCCAAAATTCCTAGATTTCCTCAACTCTTGAAGTCACAAGGGTGCAATGTGATTCCATTTCGGGGATGGCCATGAGAAAACTAAATCCCAGAAAGACTTCACAGCCCTATCGACCAAACGCTTCTGTAAACTGGGAGAGAGGTAGTTTTACACCTAAAACAAGCATTTTAAAAGACAGTTTGGAGCCAGGTCTGGTGGTACAGACCTTTAATCGCAGCATCTGGGAAGCAGAGGCAAGCTGATCTCTGTGAGTTCAAGGGCAGCGTGGTCTACATATGTGAGCTTCACCATAGCCTAGACTAAAGCCATAGCCTAGTGAGATCCTGTCTCAAACTCACATACATACAAAGAAACCCATTCTAGAAACTAACACAATTCCCCTGTGTGTGTGTGTGTGTGTGTGTGTAGCTATAAATTTATTTACAAACACTCGTACTTGCCTCTACACATTTATTCCCATAAGTTACAAGTTAAAACTAGAGGGTCCATGATAAAAATAAAAAAGTTTGTTCTTTCCTCAGCAAGGCCTCATATACGTTGGACAAGAGCATAAACCTAATTTTTCTAACTAGGACATTCTCGACCTAACAGAAATAAAATCTTTACTATTGAGTTTTAAGTGCCTGGTAGAAACAGACCTAACTACCTCCCAGCTACTCTGGAAAGCCTTGTCATAATATGGATTATAGCTCTACTAGCCCAGGGACAGGGCTTTTAATGTTCTCTGGGAGATAAAGAATTAATCAGCAACCCAGAAAAGAAGTTGTCTAAAAATGGATGATTTAGTCAAAGTAATTCCATTCTCTCTAAAACTGTGCCCTCGATCGCCAGGCATCAAAACCCCACAATGGCATCAAATAAATTGCATGTGGTTAAAGAGACAAAATGTTCTTCTGGCTGTTATGGGAGGCAGAAAAGGGCTGACTATGAATCAGTTGTGTTTTAGCTCCACGATGAATGTGAATTATGATAATTTAGACATTCTGGTGGTTAAACCAAAAAAGCAAGAAAATCAATACTTCTGTGTTCCAGCAAAAGTGAAGTCTGTGGCACCAGAATTGCAAGATAGAAACATGGAGTCTCCCACCTCCACCAAAATCAATGACACTATTTCCCTAATCCCTCACTGTCCAATCACAGTCGTCGGGAAGCCTGGAAGCAACAACTTGGCTAAGAAAAAAAGGTCTACGAAGGAGTCTCGAACACAGGCAGACACCAAACTTCTTTTGCTAGGCATACTTTTCACTGTAAAAGCACCAAGATCTATTTATGATGCTTTTTGATTGACACTCACAAGCACTCCGGCTGACACGGACTTTGCAGATTGTAGGGAAGCCCCTATGAGCTCTTTAAGTAGCCCAGATGAGCAAAGCATTCAGAACAGTACCATAATGAGCACCTCTCAGGCGCTCATAAATTCTTTCATTCCCAGCAATCAAAACGCAGCTGTTAAAATCCAAGACTCTTCCCAGTAGCAGATCTGAAATACCTCCGGGCTGCCCAGAAAAGCTTCCTCCCTCCCCCATCCCAGGAGTGCCAGCCTGGCAGAATAAGGATGACCCAGGAAGGGGGTGTGGGTGGAGGGGAGTAGCGGGTCTGGTGTAAACAGAGACGCAAGACTCCCTTCTTTTTCACCACAAAGAAAAACCAACCCTCTGTGCCAGCCAACCAGGTTTCTCTTTCCCTCCCCCAGCACACTAACTTTGGTAGTCTGATGAGTCTGGCATTTCCAGAGTTCGCGACCTCAGCCACCCTGAGCCCTTTCCTAAAAGATTTTGAACCAGAAGCTAGCGCCGTCTAAGACTCAGCCGGCCTTTACCTTTTAACCCGCCAGGACGCTACTCCTGGGGTCAAGTTCAAGATGAAGGTGCCCTCCTCACCTCCCTGATTTCACTCTGCAGGAAACTGTATTACTCAGACCAGTCCCACTACTCCAGGCACAAGGATCTGGGGCTGCCAAGCCGGAGCCCAGGCAGCCTGAAGAAGACTGTCACAGCTCGGCGTCCTCCACCCTCGGCCGCTGCGCCGCATTTCTTCTACCTGGCCACGGCCGCATTTCCTCCCGGAGCCTTTATACAATAAGTCAAGTAAGTTTTGGGAACGGCAGTCCAGAGATCTTGCTGTCTGCAAACACGCTACACAATGCCCAGGGCTTCCTTCCCCGCCAGCCGTTCCGGAAAGCGGCCGCGCCGAGCCCGGAGGGCCCCCACACACACACCCAAAAGTCCTCCAGGAAGAACCTGAATCCCCATAATGCCTCCAAAGTAACAACTACTCGTCGCCCAAGGACAAGGGGACTCGCAAACTTGACACGACCCTTCATTTAGCTGGCACCACTAAAAGGAGAAAAAAATCCTCAAGATATAATCCTAAATCATCACCCCAACACTAACACCACCAGGGGAAAAAACTGGCTTGCATCTGCGAGCCGCAGCCTGCAGGAGCGAAGCACACGCTTTCAGCTCACAGTGGGCCATCCGATTTTCCCCCGCTGAAGTTCGCTCGGAACTTGGCGACCCGCGCACGGCGACACTTGGCGACCCGCGATGCCAGGTGCCTCGCCCGCACGTCTCCACCGGACCCCCAGGTGCCCGGCGCAGCCCAGGCCCTGTCTAGCCAAGCGACGGAGGAGGCAGGCAAGGGCCGGCTGGGAAAGTCCTGCGCGCCGCGTGATCCCAATGTCCCCCCTAGCCCGGCTCTGCTGCAACCCGCTCCTCCCGGAGCGCAGGAAACGGCCTGCACCGACTCCCCGGCAGCGCCTAGCCCCAGGCCGGGTGCTCCGGCGTGCCCGCGCCTATTCCCGGAAAGCTCCCTCTGGGCCCGGCGGCGGCGGCGGAGGAGGCGTCCCGAAACTTTCCCACCAGCCTCGCTCTCGTTTCCCGGGCTGCTCTGCGGGACCCTTCCTTCCCCGCCGGCTCCAGCAACTGAGCCGGCTGCGGACTCCCGGAGGACCCGCAGCGGCGCCCGGGCAGCGAGAGTTACCTGTCAGGAAAGTTTCCAGCTTTCGGCGTGGTTCCCACCCCGGGGGCCGGGCCTCGGGGCGCGGCGGGCTGGGCGCTCGGCGGCTTGCGGCTCCTGCGGCTCCCGAGCCGGGCTCCCGCAGCTGCCACCGCGGAGGCAGCGCTCCGGCCCGTCCCCGCGCCTCGCTCGGCCCACACCGGGACCTCATTGGCAGCGCGAGTCCCCGCCCTTGCGCGTGTTCCGGAAGGCACCTTCCCTGTGCGCGCCCGCCGGGGCTGCGCCTCCCGCGCCCCTCCCGACCGGAGCTGCCCCGGCTCTGAGACCCGCTGGGGTGCCGCATGCCAACTTTCCGCCCGGCGCCTTCGCCCCTCCTCACCCAGCACGTCCTCTGCGGGAAGCCGAGTTTCCCCGGTGAAGGCTGCTCCCCCGGGTCCTCGCCTGGACCCCTGTGGGACAAGATCAGAAGTGTGATTAGCTCCCTCTCCTTTTTTTAGCCATTTTAAAATCAGTAAAGTGGCCCGGCCTTCGGTCTACGCTGCTCTCTGAAAGCATCCGAGGAGGACATATGGGAGCAATTAGCCAAGCTGAAGTTTCCGCGGATGCCTTAGGGTGGCTTTGTTGGCTTTTCTTCCCCTCACTTAACTAAACACAAACAAATACACTTTCTTGTTCCAGAATGAGCTGAGAAAGATGGAAAGTGCATCTCGCCCACTGCACCTTTTTCTTTCGGGAAAGTTAAGTTGGGGGTGCTCCGGGATCAGTGACTGCCCAGGATCGGGGGTCTGCTGCCTCCTCGAACTCTGTGGCTGGCAGTACTGTCTGGGCTAAGTACACTGGCCAGCGGCTAGCTTCCTTGTCAGGAGGAGGAGTCCTGGAGGGAGAACGGACAAAGATGCTATTATTAAGTAGGATGGTGGCAGTAAATTAAACTCCCTAGTTCCCAAAATGTTTTTGTTATTCCCAACA